TGTCAGCAAAAATGGCAACCGTACATAACATGCAGATATTTTTAGCTGTAAGAAATCAAGACTTTAGGCTAAATTGTACTTCTCAAGCAGCAGATGTATTAAAACATGTAACTGCTAATACAATTTAAATATTCTCTTAGTGTAGACAGTCCATAAAAGACTGAGTCAAAGGGATACTATATTTCACTAGAGTGCTTTTTAAATAGTGAATGACTTCACCCTTTATGCATACAACTTTCCAGCATGGAAACCAGCAGCTACTTCCACCACCAATCTTCTGAAACTGACAGGCACTTCGTGCAGTGGCCCAGAGTGTGTAGGTGTGAAAGTGTTTTGAATTCACAACTCAGTTTTTACACATAAAACCAAAACAACAAGTGTGGCTTTTTTAGTTTTCACTGCTTAACAAATTTAACAAATCATCACCCACTGTAAGGTTTATGCTACAGCTGCCCTAAATCAACAGTATAGGTGATTACCAAAATCATTTCTTTCATGTTTCTGTACTGGTTAATATCAGGGCAATCCCAAAAGTAAGGTCTCCTATTTTACAAATATAAACAACTGTTTATTTTCTATAATATTTACATCATTTATCATTGAAGAATCCTTTCTTTTTAATGCATTTTTGTTGACACTGTGGCAATTTTAGAATGCCGATGTTATACCAGCTTGCCGTCATGTCTTTCAGGAAGCATTGAACCTCATCTTTCACCTCTTCTTATGGCGGTAAACTCTCTGCACCACTTGGTGCTGAATTTCAACTGGTTTGATGCCTTTTGAGTTCAAAAATTGAATTACTGCGCGAACTTCATATTTGGCGGTAGCATTCAAAGGGAGCTCCATTTTCAAGGGCTGCCAAGCCAGCATTGAGCATCCCAACGAAACCGTGCATGCTCATTTGGGGGTGGAGAAAGCACCAATCGCAACAGTGTGGCCAACAGCCGTACGAACAGTTTCTCTACGTCGCCACAGCTTTGGATACCTTACTTTTGGGATTGCTCTCGTAAATAAAAGTATAATTTTTAGTTTCAAACAAGTTTCTGAAAGAACTCTAAAATATTTGCTCCTCGTTTCTGTTACAGGTGGTCTGATACATTTGTTAAGCACTGCGATACATAGATTGTTGCATGTCGCAGGCAAGAAGTCAACACCTGAGACACCTATTATTAATATGACAAGGAAAAAAGTAAGATAAGCCTGTTTAATTCAAATTAACCTAGGTTGGTTACCTTGGATTTAATCAATACAGAAAAAAGAAGTTCGTTTGACAAGTTTGACAAATTCAGAAAAACAAGTTTTTCTGAATTTACAAAAGAGCTTAAAATCCTGAAAGAGCATCTGTTGAGTTCAAAGCTTGATTTAATGAGCAGTAATGACCTCCCCTTCCAATTAGTTTAATACACCTTTCTTTTGGTTTAGCTTTGCAACATTAGGATATACAAGCGTCTTTGTGTCTTGAGTCACCACAGAGAAGCCAAATTGAATTTTAGGTGTTTCTTCTTGTATCCTGGAGCCATACAGGTTCAGTACCAGCTTTACGACTGAAAAAAACTGTATCCCCCAATCTTTTCAAGTATGTCCGCAGTGGGACCATTATTGCACGTGAAATCTTTCAAGTCCAAAAAGACTCTTTCGGGATTTTAAGTTATATTGTTAATTTAGAAAAACAGAGTACATTTTTGTGTTTCAAATTATCTCTGAATTTCTGAGATAATTAGGATAAATCTTTTTGTTTTCATTTGCTTCCATAGCTTTTTGGCGTCTGAAATGCATATGTCACAGGTTGATGGATTGAAATTTGCTGAAAAAAACAATGAGCTAGAATAGAACCAGCAAAGTAGAAAAAAATGTATATAATATAGTATAATTATATAGTATTAGATAGCAAAGATTATAAATTTTACTAAAATGATGTTTAATATGCTATGATTGAATTATTTTTGTTAGCTTAACAGAGTGATTTGGATGCTGAAACTCTTTTGGCCACACACTTGGCATTGGTGGGATACACTGTGAGGAGATTTGTGTTGCAATATTTTAAGCAGTGCAAAACCACCAACAGTCCAGTCTTATGTCGCACAACTCATCATGTGTGATGTGTCATACTGTATATCATCCCATCTTGATGCTGGCACAGAGTGAGTGTTCAAACAGCTAGTCAGCATACCATATTTAACTTTGAATGTTCAATGAACTTTCACTGTCACTGTATTTTTTTTTACCAACAAAGTGTTAGATTTGCACATTTCTTGAAGTTTGAAGACATTCTCTTCTCGTGTGTCTTGTTTCTCTTTTCTTCATTTTGGAATAGTTAAGAAATTTTGCGGGCAAGCTGATATTGTTGAAAGTCTGAATGTACAGTTGTGTTTGTCTTGCATTTATGTAAGTAATGCCAGTTGTTTTCTTTGCCACAGGTTGAGCTTGTGACAGATTTTTATTGGTCAAGGATTCTGATGATAATTTAAAAAAAAAAATCTCTCCAAGACTTTATTTTTTTCTGGAATGCTAACAAGATTTTCAGAGAAACCCTTTTTCTGCTTCCTACTACAGTCCTCCTACATCTTCTGAATCTGCTCGTGTCAATTATTTTAGCATTTAATTACTATGTTGTGGAGAAACATTGGCAAAAGAAAACCCCACCACCATCATCACCACTCAAAAGAAAGGCAACATCTAGATCAAAGATCTCTTAATGGTGATTAAGGGCGATTGTGTGTTTTGGCTGTTTCGAGGTGGCCTAAAAAGATTTGAACCCTGTTTCCAAGATGTTTAAGGATAATGACTTTTGCAAGGTTGATATACTGATTCATCCATGGGCTTAAAGACATTTTTGGGGGGAAAGGTTATCTTAGGATAAGGACAGCATTAACCCAACTTCCTGTGATGCCTAGAGTCACACCACTGACTTTATCTCCACAAGTCCTTTAAGGTACCTCTCAAAAACTACTTATTTCCCATAGCATATTTAACGGCAGCAAAGGCTGTACTGTGAAATTCGAAAAGCAGCAATGATTACACAGGGTATGATCAAAACAATGAAAGATGTTGAAGAAAAGACTTCTCACAGTGTCACTGGCTCTGTCGATGTGGAATCCTTTATCTGACTCAATTTTTGGCCCGATTTAGAAATACGTTGCATCACTTTGCAGCCCTGATTGTGTCCTCGGCAAAAAAAAGTCAAATGTGCAAAAATACCACAATGCTTGATCTCCTGTTAGTATTGTATCTGTTTTTTAAAGGGCTGAAAAATGTGCCACTCACTGTAAAAAGGTCCTCTCAGTTCTCAGTTAACTCCTATGGCGATTGTCATTATCAATCCTGCACAGAAATCTGAAGTGATCATTTAAGTATGTAATTTTTAACAACGTTCTCTGAATCTGCTGATTAAAAACACACAATACACGTCCCTCTGAGACATTTACAAAGAAATTGCTGTAGAATTTACCTGGAATACAGAGACATCCTTGCTTTTCAGGAAAGATTTGCATGCATTTTGATATCGCAACCCTAAGCATAATACTACATTTTAAACCAGTATTTGAAAGTTTTTACACTTCACGTTAAATTACAAATGGAAATGTAGAGAGCTTATACAAGAAGTTATGTGTCAAAAATGTTTCTTGTCATGCTGTGGCAAGTGGACCTTTTTATATCTTGGAGTGGAAAAAGAATGGGGGTCATATCAATAGTCTCATCTTACACTCGGAAAGTAACGTATTTTCCCAAATGTCAAAGCATTCCAAAATTTAAAAAGAAAAGGTTACATTACCAGCCAAACTGAACACTCCCCAGACACTTTATTAGGTACACTTTTGAATGCTCAGAAATGCTTTAATTCTTTTTGGCATGGATTTAGCATTCCTCATAGATTTTGTTCTATAATGGCAGGGTAGCATCACAAAGTTACAGCACATCCATTGATGTGAATCTCCTGCTCCACCATATCTCAAAAGCCCTCTATTGGATTGAGACCTGATGACTGTGGATGCCATTTGAGTACAGTGAATTGACTTCAACTTTGTGACATGGCATGTTATCCAGCTGAGAGCAGCCATCAGAAGATGGGTAAATTATGATCATAAAAGGATGGACAGATTAGCAATGCTAAAGTTGTCTGTTTAAAATAATGCACAGTCAGTGCTAAGAAGCTTAAAGTGTGCAAGAACATATTCCCACATCATCACATCTGAACCAATGCTGAAAGGAAGGATAGATCCATGCTTTTATGTTGTTTACATCAAATTATGTCCCTACCATCTGAGTCTTGCTGCTGAATCTTAAAGAAGTCCAGTCACTTTTCTTTCCTTAGATTACCATGACCTGGATGACTGAGAACCTTCACAGACAATCATCACATCAGTTTTCTATTGTCCAATTTTGGTGTGAATTATAACCTCAGTTTTCTGTTCTTAGCTGACAGGAGTGAGACTTGGTGTGGTCTTCTGCTGCTGTAACCCATCTGCTTCAAGGTTCGTTGGACTATGCATTCAGAAAATGCTCTTCTGCATACTTTGGTTTTAGTGAGTGGTTATTTGAGTTGCTGTTGCTTTCCTTTGAGCTTTAACCAGTCTGGCCATTCTCCTTTGACCTCTCGCATCAACATGGTATTTTCACCTGGAAAACTGCCACTCAGTATTTTCTCTTTTAGGGGACCATAACCCTAGAGATAGCTGAGTGGGAAAATCCAAGTACAAACATCATGCCACATTCAAAGTCTTGTCAAAGTTTCGTCAAAGTTCAAAGTCACTGCATTCTGATGCAAAATTAAAATTTCAGCACATTGTTTTGATCATTTCGAAGAACATCTGGGTGCATTTTGCTGCCATGCGATTGGCAGATTAGACATTTGTAGTCGAATAGTTGTACCTAATGAAGTGGCCAGTGAGTGTACACAGCTTTGGGTAATTCACATGGCAGTAGATGCAGCCACACAGGTCAGCTATTAACAGTAACGAAACAATGGTGTTGGTCTTCCATCGTTTTGACCGCCCTTAACACTGTGACATTTTTTCACCACCTCAGTAAAGTATGCATTATATCAAGTCAAAGGAGCAAGATGCTCAACAGTTACTTTAGATCTTTATTCCTGAAGAGATTGGGTATCATACAATGTCTTTGATGCATTTAGAGAAAACCAGATTTCATGGCATGGATTCAGTCAACAGAATGAATATGGGGCTGTGGTAGACCCTGTGGCTATATAAAGATTATAGTCATTATAATATTATTGCTTTCATCACAGAGGAGGAATATTATGGGCCCCTAAAACAAAGGTTATGATTTTCTTATAGGCCCGGTAAATCTAAATAGTAACACCTAAGTTGAAATTCTAAAGGAATGTCTTGTATGACCACACAGGCCTACTATAGATTGCATTCTGTTATATAATGAAAAAAGTGATTGCACAGTACTAGACTACTGCCCTAAGCAGTCAATTTAAAACAGAATGCCCATAAATAGGTTTTAATATCACAGGGTATAATATAATGATTGTTTTGTGCTTATCAGGAACAAATATTCAATCTTTCAACTTAAGTGTTACTTTAATGAGTGAAACTCGTATAGCATTGTGCCCAGTTCCGATAGGTCATATGAGGCTGATAATGCACTCCTACGTGAATGTAAAATGCATCATTTAGCAACATATTTTGTATTTGATCATCTAATAAATTCATAAAATCGCACATGGTAAAATAGTCTATATATGAAATGCCAAAAATACGGCTGTGAACAAACATGAAAATGGAAACAAGGTAATATAGTTAAGGCTAAACATCTTTGTCTATTACCTTTGTATAGCTAAGTCAATAAGAGAAGCATGCAGTTAACATAACATTGCCACGATTTTACATTAAACAACAAAAGCAATCAACTCAAAACAAATGTATGTGCCTGTCGTCACCACAAATTAGAACCATGTAATGTAGGTTTTCCATGTTGTAAATCATATGGCTTTGTGCAATTGTTCCACCGTCTGCAAATTCATTAATGAAATTCTTTTTGTAAAATAATATATCAATAAATGTCATGCCAGAAATTATTTAGATTCTGTTCTACATGCGCTGTTTCTTACATGCCAGATTGTGCTAATTGTACATCATCCTTATAAAACAACCCCCCAAAAAAAATCAAAGGTCTTTCATCAGAGCATGTACACTTACATCCAGAGACAAATGTGCTCAATTCCATCCCCACACTTTATATAAGGTTTTTGTGCACATATTCTACATTTCGTTTAATATAAGAATATTGTCCATTAATAAATTAGGAATAGTACAAGGACTTCAGTTAGGGAAATAAAAGTGGATGGCATAATTTAAAATATGTTGCCTGCTTTATGTAAAGCGATCTGAATTCATCTTTCTAAGTTTAGGCGGCAGGTGTCCGTCCATCCTGCCCGCCCCTCCTCCAGCCAGTCGCTGCAACTTTGGAGGTAGGTCCGCCACTGACTTACTGATGGGCTCCGTGCTGATCTTGGAGGCCTTCCCACCCTGCTTGTCGTCAGAAACGCCAGGAACAGAGCTGATTCGCTGCAACTTCATGGGCAGGTCGCCAAAGCTGTAAGTCATCTCTGAGGTGGTGGAGCTCATTCTTAGTAGCTTCTTAGGCAGGCCGTCCCGCCCTGTGATCTTCTGGAGCTTGGTAGGCAGCTTGGTGGTGCTGTCATTGTCCTCCAGGGTCTCCAAGCAGTCCAGAGAGCTGTTCTTCTCCCCGCTGTTGCAAAGGGATGGAGCCATGAGGGGCGAGGAGAGAAGCAGGGCCTCCTCCTGTTCCTTCACGCTGTAAGGAGGGGTGGGCACCTCGAATGTGGCATGAAACTGAGAGTAGTCCACTTTAAAGAAACCTTCTTCCAAAGATATGACCGGGAAAAAGCGATGTCCCCACAGAACCTCGTCCTCGGTGTACGATGTCCTCGCTTGGCAGGTCATTCCTGTGAAGGAAAGACACAAGACCCTTTAAGTTTCACAAATTATGTGTCATTGACTTATAACAGTACAGTTAACCCCAAAAATTTAAATATGAAATATTTCAAGACTCCACTATTATACAGCAGAGCCCTGATTTAATTATGTGCTTGGCACTCTTCCATAAGAGCCAATATGTTATTCACCAGAGCTATTTTTAGATGACAAAGCAAACAATATTGCAAACAAAACTGCCTCAATGATTAAGGATTTACTGTATTACAGAGCCAGCTGCCTAAATAAAAAGCTTAATTGATTTTCCCTTCCTAAATGTGATGTTTATGAGCAATTTCCAGGCTAACATGAACATTAATTAAAAGTATAGTTGAGTAATTGGCCGCACGTGTTTTATAAGAATGAAAAAAATAATAATTACAAAAGTCCAATTTTAATTAAAAATTATGATTAGTAGGGAACTTCCACTGCACCTGTCATGTATTCAAAGAGTACAGTGTATATTAATATTACATTTACCCTTTGGTTTAGAATAGTCTTCACTTATGGCAGTCGAGTACAAAAATACAGAAAAAAAAAGACCTCAAATCCACTCTTATTCTACTTAACAGCTCTGTCCACACCTTAGCAACTACAACAGATTGAAGTAATATTTCTTTTTAAGACATTAAAGGGGAATCAGATGTTATGCAAAACACACATACACACACACACATACAGACGAAAAAAATGTTCATTATCCCTTTTCATGACATTGTTAAGCCAAAACCAGTGTGACAATTTGGGTAAAAGTGCTCTATTCTGTCCTTTGGAGATTACAAATTAAACCACAATAGCCTTATTAGCATGTGTCTGGCTTGTGTGTGTACTTGTAACCATGCCTTGCAAATTTGGCACATGATAGCAGACTATTATACATTTGGAATAAATGTTCCCTCACTGGGGAATTAAAATCCTGCTTTAAAACTCCCCTCGCATCCTCAGAAACAAATTAATGCAATTAGAAAAATCCCAAGGTTTGAATTAAACAGCATTAAACATTTGTTTTCATCCAAAGTTATTGGATGCTTGTAAGTGATTACTCATCGTCATTATTCAGCAGTAGCTATCAAAGCCGTGTGTGCATTATGTCACACTCCCCTGCTTACAGGAAAGCCTTTTCTATCTCAGCATAGTTAACATTCCGCTGAATAAACAATTTTAATTTCTAACTGAAAGTGAGTGCAGAAAAACTATAATTAGGTTTACATCTTGAACAAAATACTAAATTGGTTATATCGGTGCAAAAAAAACCCCCATTTCACACAGCTGAATGGCTGGGACATTCATGTTAAAACTTGTTGAAATCCATCAGGAAATCAGCAACTGCGGTTCATAATTATCACACATTTTAATTACCAAACTAATATTGTTCTAGCAGCGACATTTGGGTCCAAACTAAAAGAAGCGCTTATTCACAGTGAGACACTGCTGCTGATTGCGAGGATGTCATCATCGAAACTAGCAGCATCTGCGATTCCGCCTGATTCCCAAGGTCATAAAATAATTCACTGATAACAGCTCTGTACACAATCACAGATGTGAACATCAAGTGCGTTTAGGGTATTCAGTGTATTACTTCTGCACTATTGCTTCAAAGTCCCCGAGCCTTTTGGGCATATACAAATGTGCTGCAGTGAATAAAGTGGGCAAAGCTAATGAGAACTGTAGGGCCAGAGCGATAGCGTTAAGCCTGAATGGAAATCTTATTGAATAGTGAACCTGTTAAATTTCCGCCAGCCAAAACACAGTCGCCATCAACAGGCGTGCAAACACCGATTGTGAGAAAATTCTGGTGGAAAATGCTTTCAGATTATAGCTTTTGACAGCTACTTAATCACCACCACAAATAAGCTGCACCTTCTTTATCAAACATTTCGCTCAGTGCTAATTGGACATTGATACTATATCTAAAAGACTACAACACTCTTTAGAGGTTCATAATTATTATTTTTTAAATCAAAGGAGTGAAAGGGGTTGCTACAGGAAAAACAAAATCCAAATGGCTTCATCTCACATCTATTAATAACACTCTATTGGCCCTGTAGATCGTGTAGGAGTTACTGTAAGACCTCTGTCTCTGGAAACCCATGAACCCTGCAGGCCTGGGGCCGAATCCCTGCTCAACCTGTTCCCCTTTCTCTCAACCCACTCAGCCCACTACGGGAGAAACCTCTCTGATGTCAATGATCTAATCCGCTGTATCATCCTTCGAAAACTAACAATAGCACCAGGCTTAATCATGATCATTAATATAGATTTAAATTCCATACATTATTCAAGAACGGATACTTGAGCCATTGCATAATTGTAGACACTGTTGCATCAGATATGTACAATTGTGTTGCTAAAGACCTGCTGTTCTGCAACGCCCACATTCATATGGCCACACCATAACAGACACAGCAGTGATAATGAACTGTGCACCTCGACTTTCAGTAAGGCCAAGACACTGCAAATTTGTATGGAAATTTAAACATTATGCTGTGTATATCGAAGTTTCGTATCAGTTAGAGAGGCACCCCTAGATCGAGTAACAGAGTGCAGTTACACAGCCTAAAATAGCAGCAGCAAGAAACCATAAAACCTCATTTAGATATTTTTTTACAGTTACTATGTATCATCGCTAAAAATAGAAATCTACTCAAATGAGAATGCCCATATCGGATTGTACAATGTATTACTGGTAAAGCCTTATGTAACTCTTAAACACACGCCTGCCCAGAACTCAGCGTTTCTATGGAAACAAAACTGTAGAAATGTGTGCATGTGACAGCCATAAAGCTTTTTCTCTGCTTAGTTTGGTCAAAAGTAACAGTGACACAACACAAAAGTCTCTCAACAGCTGAAAAAAAATGCACAACCCAACTGCTGAGAATGGATTTTCCATTGAGGACGGGCTCAGATCCTCAATATGGCTCCCGAGCCAGACCAAAATAGTTTTATTGTCACTTAAATGTGACCTTTTACAACACAAAACCACACAGCTCAAAAGTGTCTGCCTTTTGGTGAAGTGGGGAAAACATATATTCTGGTGACATCTCATCAGCGAAGCCCAAAACTCATAATACAAATGTCATTTTTAATAAAGCGCAGAGCAATTTTCTCATCCCCTTTCATCCATCACTCGGGCGGAATATTGCACTGTTTCCCTCGGATGATCTTTGCGGCACGCACGTTCTGTATCACACGAACGGGTCATAAACACACGCGAAGCAGGGGTAAAAAAAAAAAAAAAAAAGAACACAACAAGCAAACGCACAAAAATAAACATATCTGTTGTGCTCTGTGCTGCTGGGAACAACAGCAGGACGTCACAGCAGAGAGGGGGAGAAAAAACACCTCTGATATGTGGTGTACAGTGTTGTCACTGAAACTTAGGTTTGTTGATGTTACCAACACCTCTATGTCAAAAAAGTGAAAGCTAAAATAATTTTGTAGTCACTGTTTTTATACTGTATGCTTGATATTGTATAGGCTTCCCAGTTATACAGAGTTGGTACCACTGGAACTACGGTACATGGATTTTTAACCACTTCTGGGAAATTCAAATTATTTTTATTCACCCCATTACTTCAAAAAGAACAAGTTGCAGTTAACATCCATGGCTGTCCTGATTAAAATATTATCTTTTCTTATTAAAATATGTACATTGTGAGAGAAATTTATAGGTGGATATTAAATATTATAGCCACCATTTCAGCATCTGCAAAAATGTAAAAATAAATTGTCACAATCTCCCCTTCTGTTTCTGAGTTATAGCATTTAATAATGGTGAAAAAAAGATCATCGCGCCACAATGAAGTTGATAAAATTCACTTATTCACTTCACTATTTCATCCTATCAAACATTTATGTGTTAATTATTTCAGTTTCACATTTACAGCCCAAAAGTTGTTTCGTGAAATCGCAGTGAGAATGACATTTGACCTTCACTGCCAATCGGTTGTAATCAATTGTTGCTTAACTCGAAGTAAAAAAAAAAAACTTGAGTAAATTCAGGGGACATTTAAGAATGATCACATATGGACAGATGGGGGATCTAAAACCATAATGCCTCCAGCCATAGCTGATGCTGTCGTTAGCATCGAGGCATAAAAACAACATGCTGTAACAATAATTTAACCTACCTCTATGAGTCATGACAGAAAAAAAACAGAAAATCAACATAATGTTTGAAATTTATTAATCCAAAAATTACTAAAACAGCGCTTTCCAGCTTTTCCAGTATTTCGATTTTTCTTTCTTTTTTATGATTTTTATGATTTTAAAAAAGTACTTTGAATATGTAGAATTTTTTTAACTGTCTTTTGAGGAGACACAACGATTGACAGATTTATTAATTACACTAATAATCATAATAACAATAAATCAACCTGTGGTCAGTTTCATTCATTCTTCAGTTCATGTAAACAGAAAACCGTCAGGTTTCACCAACTCTGTTAAAGAAAAGAGAAGCAAGAAGAAACTAAGTGGGGAAAAAAACATCACTGGAATCAGTAAAGAGGCAATTCCTCATTCAGCCCATTAGGAGAGAAATTTGTAACTGTGTGGATCCATTACACTTCTAATTTCAGTAAATCATTATCTGTTCCCCTCTGTGACTCTATATAAGGCAATACCAGTATATTTCAAATCCTCTGTGGAGTGGCTCTTCTCTAGAAAGTGCTCCACAATAAGAGATTCTGAACACCCCTCTTACAGATTCTCTGGAAGACAAATCAGGGTCTTTTGGCTGTTTTATCAACAATACACAAGTTTCACAGAGGAAGGCCTCTCTGTTATCAACTTACAACATCTTAAAAAATGTATCTCTCCTTTTGTCTGATTTTTTTTGTGTGTGTGTGTGTGTCGATAATGCTGTTGCAAATTACTGAACCACCTCAAAGGCACTTATGCTGGCAGGTAACATATGAGGGAAGAGGGTAGACTCGGATCAAATTATTATCTGCTTTCAGTCCCTCAATTAACC